GTAGATATCAAATGCTCTTTAAATTTACCCAAAAATTAATCTCTGGAACAATAAAATAAATTTGAATATAACGCGAATAGTCGTAAATGAAGTTTACGAAATATTTTTCCTTATATGCAATTAACTTCCGCCCACCAATGGTTTAGTGAGATTGCTGAATACTGGTAGTTCCGTCTACTGTTTTGAGTTCGATGTCAGGTGAGCGTGTTGGAGATAAAAATGTTTTATTTCGAAACGTGTCGCTACTGCTCGCTTTCAAATCGTAGAGTTTGTTAACCAAAAATGTCTAAGTTTTACAAAATCTATATATGTATAAAGAAGAATCTCTGTTTGTACGTTTGTTTGTCCCTTCACGTTATTGATTCCTGATCAATTATGATCAATATTTTGTCACATTTAATAAATTAAAATTAAATAGGTGAAATATTGGATGGAACTTGAGCTCTTACGACCATTTGATTAGAAAGACGAAATCCATAAAAAAACTGCTGGCTATTGTTGCGGATATAATGAGAGAGAATTAGCTTATTTTTCTGTCGAAATTTTTTATGTGGGTTCCATATCGCATCAGACTGAAAAGTGTATGACTATGAATCGTATTTTTTGCATCGTTATTCGAAAAGGATTACAGCGGTATCGTTCTCTCTGTTGTTAGATACATTACTTTCAATCTAACTAAACTGGCAACGGGTACTTCTACTAGTTTGTAGTATAGTTGTAGGGTTTTCCTTATTTTGCATAACAAATTTATTTTAAGTTTGATACCTGTTCTAAACTTCCCAACTTCCCCTCACATTTTCTCGCCAGGATGTAAATTTAAAGTTCTGTGAAGTGCTATTTAAACGTGTGAATATCTCAGTTTATTCAGAGCGTGTTTCGCTAGGCAAGCGCACGTTTCGTTGTTATTTCGCGGTCAGGCTATTAAGCCTCTTGGCCTTATCAAATTAGTATCACGCCGGTTAGATTCCTATGAGTCCACCTCTTAGGCGTAAACTTAAGTGCATTCTTGTATTATTTATTTTAGGTTGACGTAACGTATTATATTCTACGTTTTAGTTTCCACTGCAAGTGGTCGGTGTCTTTGTAACGCACGAAGCCCGCGACTTTCTGTTAATTAATTTGAATTAATAAAGGAATATTTTCCCCCCTTCTTCTGTGCTGGGATTTAATTAACGCCTGTGGGAGAATTCGCCAGGTTCATTGTAGGATCTAATTTAGTTTATTTAGTAGATCTAATTTAGTTTTCTATGTGAAATAACAGAGACAGATCTTACATATTAATAAATATTGGAATTCTACTCAAAAATCCAAGGCAATTTTGAAACTTCGTGTGCAAAAATGACCCTTCACACGGTCTCTTTACAAAAATATTATCTCAGTCGACGATGAGAATGTGCCAGACCATTTACAGATATTCGGTACGATTGAGCTAATGCAAAATTTCAGCGAATTCAGACACTCAGAATACAAATACTTGCCTGCGCAGTTCTCAAAATGCCACAAATTTATAGCATGTATGATTTCTATAACAGCTAGTACGTACCAGTGTGAACAACTTTTCTCAATTATGAAAACGAACAAATCTCCAACGAGATCCAGGTTAACAGACATTAATCTGATTTCTGATCTAAAAACCTCTACTGCAAACTACACATCTAGACGTTCGAAAGTTGGTTGCGGGTAAAGGATGTGACTTTTCGGGAAAGCAATAATACCTACCCATTTACTACAAAGTTTCTTTATGTTCTTTCTATTAAAAAAAATAAAATTACATTATTAGCAAAATATTATACATTTACTCACTTTTGAAATAAATACATATTAAATATGAAAATAGCTGTTTTTTACACTCGCACTATTGCACACTGATGATTACTTGGCTTACTTGAAGTGCTGAGTTTGATATGTTAACTCAAGGAATTTTTCTTCAAAATTAGGATGAAATTGCACAAAGCGTTCTGTCACTTCTAAAGTGCCCAAGGCATATGCCAATGACAGACGCAATCCTGAACTTTTCACCATAGTAATATTCACGACTTGTTTTGATTTTACTATCAGACAAGTCAAAACAAAATGAAAGAAGTACTAGGAAAGAAATCTTCTAACCGACTTTTTTAGAGCAGTGGGAATTGAATCACTTTGCTGAAGTTCTGTTGTAAATATTCTTCTTGAATGCCATTAATAATTCAGTTTCTTCATTTCTAATGTTATTTGTTGTTCATTATTTATAGTGTTCCTTTTATTCAAATATTGGTTTAATATCTGTGATTAAGAAAATTTATTGTTCTGATTTAAAACTGAAAAATATAGGAAAATCGTGTTTTTCACTTAATTATTGGTGATTCCTCTTTCCTGTGTTTTTGTACTGCTTTTGGATTAGCTGGGATTTTGTCTTAACCGCGTATGCCATCTTTAGTATTCCTCAGCTTAATCGGGAATTTCTTTCTTTGCTCAAAGCAAAATGTTAAGATAAAAAATAGTTATACATAATGTACAAAAATCTCAGAAGCATTTCATACAAAAGAGATATAAAAAGTTCTTTTATAGCAACCGAAAATGATCCCCATTTAAATCTTAAACCAGGAACATTTTTGGGCAGACCGAGTACGAGCTTTTGAAAGATATTCCTATTAAAGATTTTTTTAAAGTATTCGAGCTAATGAAATGAGCTTCGATGGATGGAATCGTTATCACTTGTTCCATTTATGCACTTGTTGACAGCAGCATAGATAACGTGGACGTTACGGGATTTTCTCTTTCAAAACTCAATTCATTGAGATTACATTGTCTCAATACCTTCTCTCATCATAACACTGTGGTACTGTAACAATGCATAGCAGTGCTTTCTAACATCAAATTGCCGTTTGAACAGGAGGGCTGTTCTGGTACGAATCCCTAATTAGACCAAGGCTAAGTATGGAATTCTGCCCTAAGTGATTAGTATAAAAAATGTTAAAACTCCTTCAGTTAATAAGCAAAAATTACGTTACAGTGCCATTTAAATCTTAGAAATCTTCTAACGATCCTACGGTACCAGTATCTTTTATTTGTTACATTACTTCTTCCTCTTAAGTTACTTAAAATGCATAAAGAGTATTAATATATCTAATTATGTTCTAAATTTATTTACATTATTCAAAAGGTTTATGATTACGTATCATTGCTACGTAGTAGATAGAACCAGGAAGGTCTGGCGTTTCTTTAATGGAACGATAAAGATAGGAAAATGTGCTTTCTGAAGCCCAAGAATCGTCTAATTTTGAAGAACTACAGAACTCTGGAAGATAGCTTCGGTATCATTCAAAATAATCTTTGCGAAATCCTTCAAAGATACAAAGATATATATATATATATATATATATGATTGAGCAAATTCTGTATCGTTTATTCTGGAACTGAGAATCGTGGAGAATATTATTGTCGGAGTTGAGAACAGTAAGAACGCAAAGACATTTGCTCAGGTTAAGGTAAAACTTGATTCTAAAAAGTACTTAACTCACTCATTAAAAAAGTAATTTCTTTCACTGAACTATAAACATCAGCAGCATTCAGTTTTCCATTGACGGAGCACTGAGCCATTCTAGGTTAGCTTTCTGGCCGTGATAGCAATAGACGGCGTTATATGTTTGTTTCTGTTACTATTGGCAAAATCGACAAGTGGAATTGGGGGTTTCAAGCTTCGAGAAGTGCCAAATGGAATAAAATATTAATTTGAATGAGCTGTTCTCCAGATGCTGGCTTAATTTCTAAAATTAACTAAGAAAGACTAAGAAATTCGAAGCCTTACGAAAAGCCGCCAGGAAAGAAGAAAATAAATAAAATAACTAATAAATAACAAAATGATTAATAATTAAATAATTAAAATCTTATGGAGTAAGTGATAAATTAAAACTTCGTAAATTATTAAACAAACAGATAAATAATAAAATAAAATACTAGATCTCGACTTACTTGTTTGGCTCCGGCTGGAATTACAGTTTCGCTCAAAAACTAACAAATAGCGTACGCGTGCTCTAGCTGAATTTAAGCCTTGCATATACGAATAAGGGATTATAGAAACAAAGACCATTCTTTCCCAGCCACTAATGAAAAAGTAAAATATTCACTATTGGGAATAGACAGAATGTTACAAGAGTATGTCTATAATTATAAGGAAATTTTAATGGAGATGTGTAGGTGAAAACAAAGACAGAAGAGTTCGATATTTTCTGACCACTACCCCTACCGGTATAATTCTAGCCATGAAGCAGCATGTGACAAAGGAAACATGTTTCATCCGAATCAGAAGATTGATCTCAAATGAGAGCAAACGTAAGAAGGTTCTGCACAAGTGCCAATTGTGATATTATTGAAAGAACGTTTTTTTAGATCAAAAGAACGTTCTGCTGAAATTATAGTTCAGTTACTTAGAGCTGCAGTCATCTTATATAGGGTTCCAGGGCACTCCGACTAGAATTACGATACATCTCAGAAACTGAGAAGTACGGGAGCCGGACTCCGATGGACTTCCAGCCAAGGCCAACTTGATATCTAGTCTCTAATGTCAGCTCTAAACTATTATTAATGATACATTCTACTAGGCAAATTACTTAAAAGAAAGAAAAGTTTCTTCTGTATTATTTTTTGTTCGAGGGGCATGAAAATACCTTCATCCTATACTGACTGTTGAACTAGTAATCACGTAGCAAATCATTCATGAATCTTAAATGCGCTGATTTATATATTTTAGTTTTCTTTGCTAAATTCATAAAATTCGTATTCTCAAAGATAATGTATAGTAACAATTACTTTGATTTTATTATTTGTAATATATATAATTAATATTTTTTTCAGTATCCTTATAAAATATTGAGATCGTGGATTTTCCATAGTTCACGTGACATGCAATAAAATTTCTAGGAATGGTTATTTTTCTCACTAAAATGCGATTATCAGCTGATGATTAGCTTCGCTAATCTTCATGTTTGTCCCATTGACCTACTGTGTATACGCTGACAAAAGGTGCTGCAGCACTTATCTGCTGCTTCTTGGCATTGGCAGTGATCCCAAGGTCGGCAAAGGAGAAAGTGTGGAAACATTTAACGTTAATCTCTATCGCGTGAGGAGAGTCAGGCGTTTTAAATTCCTGTTTTTGTGATCATATTTTTCGAAAATGTCTCGATTTTCATGTGTGGAAGCTGCACCGCCAGTAGAAATTTTCGCTTTAAATAAAGCCTATAAAGAAGATAGTTTTCCAGACAAAGTTGATTTAGGAATCGGAGGTAATGTTTTTTAAAGCAATATTAGAAGTATCGAAGTAATGCACATTAATTTCTGTTTACAAATATTCTGTAGTTTAAGGTATATTCTATATTCTATTATTCAGTAAGGAGCATAAATATATATAACTGAAGCTTTCATCAAGCATGCATTTTATTTTCAAGATTTTAGTATATGTAAGATTATGTATTTAGTAAATGTAAGATTTTAATAAATTTCAACTTTTTGTAAAACTCGTAAATATTGTTTTCCAAGTTAATCGAAATAATTAAGTAATTTTCATTTTTTCTTCATTTCCAGTAATTAAAAATTATACACTAGCGGATTGTTTTGAAGAGAATTAAGTTTGATTACTAAGATGGTGAAGCAATATGTAAGATATGTATGTAGTTTGAGATGTTAGCAATTTTATTTCTAGATAAAAACATTAAAATAATATATAGTAATGTTAACATTTAATAGATGTAATAATTTTTTTAACCTTTCCTTTCAAATTAGAAAGGTCATTGTAACTTTTTTTTATGTATTTATCAGTTAGGCAACTACTAATGCAGAGCAGGCAAAAAGTGATTAAAATCAGGCTGTTAATGATATGTACTATAGCACATGTTGCTTATATAATACCCTGTTAATTTAATTGTAAGAAAAGTAGCAAATTTTGGGGAGAAAGAATTGAATAAGCTACAGGCATAAAATTTACATTATAATCTGCCAATGGATACTGACCTTTTTTTGGCAGAAGAGCTTTTTACCCCTTAAGCATAACTTAATTTTCCTGCATACCATTGCAAAAGGATCTATTTAAGAAATTTAACAGTAATAATTAACTTTCTAATTAAAATATGTTATTAAAATTTTTAAGTAAATAGTTGCGTGGATTTTTAACAGTGCACGTAATTCAGCCTGTTATTTTTCACTCTTCTCCTCCTTTTCAGGTAAGGAATTCCTTTCAGAGGTAATTATCTGTCATGATTTTATCCGTTCTATTCAGGTTTGGGATAAAATTTGTCATTAATTCCTTGCCCCAACTTAAATCATTCAGTTGTTACAAATGTCATCTCATTTTCATCATACTAATTTTATCATGCCAGAAATCATTGCTATTTCTCTGATTTTATAATTTTTACATTAGTCTTTTTCACATGATGTGCAGTTTTAATAATCTTGGAATCATGGGGGGTATAGAAATACAGTTCTAACTTAATTTCAGAGATTAAAAAAATTCATACATGTAAAAAGTCAATTACAATTTCCTATTGCTGAAAGTAAGCAGTACACCTTGAGCAGTTTATAACATCTTTAGCTTTGTATTATGTACCTTCTGCTAATGATTTCTGTAGTAGCATGTATCACCACAACTTTCCTCACTTATGAAAAGGAAGTCCGTAGCAGACGTTAATCTGACTATTGTTCAGAAAATAGCTAGTGCAAGCAGGTCTTCAGATATCAGAAAGCTGGTTTCAGAAAAAAGATGCTAGGTATTGTGAAAATAACATCAGATACCCATCCATCTGCTACCGGAATTTCCTTATTTTATTTTTTTTTTTTTAAACTGCCATATTAGGTAAGATTTTATGTACTTTGTCATTTTTCATTTTCTAAATACATCATTCAGCATAGAAATGGCTTATTTTTTCATATGGTTTACACTAGTGTGCATTGAAGGCTATTTGTCCTATTTTGAAGTGCTGAATTTGACATGCCAGCTTTAGAATGTTTATTTCTTTTACTTTTTTACCCAGGTGGGTTTATCCTATTTGATCTCGATTGTTATGGGATTTATTTCATTTTATTTCCTCTGGGTTTTAATTTTAAACTGGTTTTTTCCTTTTTTATTTTTAGCTTTTCATGACGTTTCTATTTTTATTGGAACTCCCTCCAAACAGTCAAGCATTTTAAGATTTCTGTCTTCTTTTTCTGTAAGTATCTGTACTGCACTGTTCTTCATTTAATAAAGAAGATCCTGATGTATCCAAAATGTTGAGACATTCTGTGACTAATATTGAATATATTGGAGTATAAATTAGTTTTGTTGTTGGGCATCTGTCTATATTCTTTTTTCAGCTTCAATAATTTGGATTTTGTTTTCTGTATTTCATTATATATATACAGTCAAAAGTCGTTAATCGGGACTTCGGCGATTCCGGATTATAGATCATCAGTTTAAATCTGGTAAAATGGCATGCAGAAATTCTAAAATTAAAAATATGAACTAATTTACGAAATAAGAAAAATTTTATCTAAAGGGTATCAATTTACAAAAAAGCTTATATTTTTGTTTACTTATAAAACATTCTTTCAATGTAAGTTGTTTAGTTGCTTCGTTTTTATGTGATAATAATTCTCTTAATTCTATAAACAGACATAATTCGTTCAGTACAACGTTCGCTGTTTCAAGTCCTATAATTGCTGTGTCGAGAATACCGACTAGGTTGATCTTTACATTTGTAATTTGGCGATTTTTTTGGCGAAATTTGCACCAACTTCTCCTACAGCAACCCTCTATTTTTTTTCCCCCCGCGCCATTTTGTCTTCACGAAGTAAGAATGTTTCTTTTCTTTTTATCTACTGAACACTTCTCCAACATCTACTAGCCGAATTACACTTATTCTAGATTTTATCAAACAAAACTGCTAATCATGACAATATTCACTGAAAATTGGGAAAATTCCACAATACGCCAAAATACCACATACTCAGAAACCAGTACACGCCGACTTTTTTCCTTTAAAAAAATCCCAGAATTGCACAAATGGCATTGCACACACTCTTCACTATATCCATGTACCTGCTTTTCTCTAAAAATTAGAAAATTTCACAAAAAAATGACATTTTCTCAATCTTTAAAACGGTAAAAAGAACATATATGAAATTACCTGATTCGAAAAAGTATTTACCCTTTCCAAATTGAACATTTCCATATAAATAATAAAATATCCAAAAACTTTTCCTCTAATCATCTATTACTATACAACTTTCACTCAACCGCAAGCTTACAAATACTTAGTATCAAAATTTAATTATTTCCATGCACGTTTACTCAACTTAATCGTATACCAAATTGCCAAACATAAAATTCACAAAATAACTATAATTTAAAAATATCACTAAACCAACTCGACTTATTTTACTTAAAAAAAAATCCCAGATTGCACAAAAATGCATTGCGCACACTCTTCACTATATCTGTACACTGTGTTTCTCATAAATTAAAAAATTTCACGAAAATACTGACAATTTTCTCAATCTTTAAACCTGGAAAAAGAACATATATGAAATTACCTGATCGCGAAAAGGTACCTTCCAAATAGGAACATTCCACATATAAAATAAATAAAATCCAAAAATTTCCCTCTAAATCATCTAGATTAAAACGTCACCAACGAATTCAACGCAACCATACAAATACTTAGTGTCAGATATTTAAATTATTCCATGACTTTACTTCAACTAAAACGTATACCCCAATTCCTAAAACATAAATTCACAAATAACTTCATTTCATTTAAATATTTAAATCAAAACACTCTTAAAATTCAAATGACCTACATTAATTATCAAAACTTACAATCATTGCTTTAACAATCATGCTAAGAACATTTTTCTAATTACATTTCCCCTTACTTTAGAAAATGCAGAAAATAATATCCTCAATAATTAAAATACAACTACCTATCTTCTCAAATCTTGATAGTGTCCGAAACTTTCTTCTTCTGTTTCGGCTCTTTAAAATCATACTTATATTTCCAGCAAGTCCCCGGTAAATGAATAACTTAATAAAACATCTTTATTTCTATCTCCACAACCTTCAACAACATTTATTACTATCCTTTCATCCACAAATACCCATTTCGAATTCACTTTAGTTCTGGCCATGGGATCCAAAATTAACCAACCTGTTTCCACACCAACACAGAATAAAAGCCAATACAAAATTCCAGATTTTTTCCCGTTCCCCCCTTTTCCGATTCAAACGTATTCTCCCTTATATCATAACATGCCCTGATCTCTCATTTCCTCACACAAATAATGTAATCGGAACTGAGTACTGCTATTAACCAAAGTCCCAGGTAGTAAGTACCTTTATCGCCTCCAAAATGTTGCCAAACTAACCATTTACCATTTGTAATTCAACCCCGACTAATTTGTCAATCGACTTTTTTGTTTCAATACCTGTCCCTTTTCCCTTCGGAAGCGATTATAATGATGAAGCTTTGATTTAAATCATATCAAGACGGAGTCAATCGAGATGAAATAATACATTGAGTAAGCAATTATAAGCCAAATAAATAAAAAAATCTGCCCTTAAGATAAGGATAGTGCTGACAGATCAACTTCCAATTCAGCACACCCCCCACGCCCACGGTGTTAAAAAGTTTAGTTTAGATCAAACGTTAAAGTTTAGATAACAAAGGATTTTTCCATTTTTGCAGCAATTTTTTTGTTTAATGGACTCCGAAAGATACTTTCGCTTTGTATATCCTTTACATATTAGTAAATATATATCGGAAATTCTTTGACATAATCAAAAGTTCAAGCTTAACTTTTATAAAATGCTCTAACGTCTGCAAAAATTAATAAGCCGGATCCAATTCGAAGATTAAGGAACAACGCAATCTGCAACATTAACTGAAATAGATAATTAGATAATTTAGCTTAGCTTATCCCGCATTATACATTACACGTGCATTTGTAAACGTATTTTGCGCACTGCACATGCAAATTTCGCAGCGTAAAGGTCTTACGCGCATGCGTCAATGCGACGCATGCGCAGAAAGTTTGTAGCTTTGAGGTCCGGATTATGGGTGTCCGAATTAACGACTTTTGACTGTATATATAATTACGTTTCTGAACTTTCTTAATATTTGTTTTTATTTTTAATGATAAAGTAATTTTTTTTTTTTTTTTTTAAATTTGAAATTAGCTTATAGAACAGATGAAGGCAGACCATGGGTCCTACCTGTTGTACGCAAGACCGAAAAAACTTTAGCTGATGATGATGCATTAAATCATGAATATCTTGGTCAACTAGGACTGGAAGAATTCAGTAAAGCGGCATCTAGGATGCTGCTGGGAGATGACAGCCCTGCTATTAAGGAAAATAGGGTAATTATTGCTTTGTTTTTAAATATGAATTGAAAGAGACATTTAATTTTTTATATATATAATTACTACTTTTCGAGTACATTGTTAATCTATCAGCAGTTGAATAAGTGAGGTCATGCAGTTTTGGTTACTGTGAGTTACAATTTGATTTCATGGCATATTCATGTTTTTTGCTTGTATGATGGATATAAATTAAAGGCATTTAGGAAATCCTTCAGGAAGACAGTTCACTTCTGGCAATGTTATTAGATATTTGGATTTTTAGTGCAGAATTGATTTGTACTATGTAGCATGTTTTTAAAGTAAGGGCCATTATAAACTAATTAGTGTTGCGTGGGCAGCAATGTGTGCTTGCGTTGTGTCGCAACATTCCTTGGAAACAACTGTGCTCATTTGCAGCTGTGTAGATAACCGGTCTGTTCTGTGTCTTTTCAGATGTTCAAGATTATTGACATTCAAGGTATGGTCAGTACTATGTTTTTTTTTTATTGGCAAGAAACCTGTCTACTGTAGACGTTCACTGGCAGATTAGTGCAGTTTATGGAGTTGCTGCCATAAGTGAAGGCAAAGTGTGTAAGTGGATCAGAGACATCAAAGCTGGCCCCAACAACATCCATGATGAGTCCTGTTCTGGTCACCTATAGACAGTATGGTGGCTTCAGTTGAAACGAAAATTCTTCAGAACAGATGCTTCACCATAAGCACTCTTTCAAACGAATTTCCTAAAGTGTCTAGTCTAGGATGTGAGAACGGCCATGACCTCTTGGTTGTCGGAGCAGGCAGCAAGTTTCTATGAAGAGGATATTCAAAATCTAGTTATGATAAACGTTTAACCCTCTTACTGCATACTTTTTTACTTCCTTGTACGAAGTAAAAAGGAAGTATTGTAATTGCGAAAATTTTCAGGCAGCATATTTCAACTAAAATATCCATTTTGACCGCTATCGAATGCAATTTAACAATGTTTCTGCGTGATATCTTACGTAAGGGCAGAATAAAATACTCTTTTCCTTCAAAATTATAAATTGCTTTTAAATTAATTCTGAAGAGAAATTTTTCGTGGTCTGTAGAACGTGCATAATACGTATCTTGCATAACTAAAATGAGTAGCCTCTGACGGAAATTTTGTAAGACTGCTATAACTGTAGATGTGCACCTTGTTTTTGGTGCATCGGCCGCACCAAACGTTATAATATATTTATATTATATCCACTCTGTTACCACGCTCAGTGATCTCAGTTTCATTTTCTTATATGTTTGAAATTGTACATTTTGCTTTAAAAATGTGTATTTTTATTTTTATCTGCCAGTTAAGGTTTTTTGCTTTAGTAATCTGTATGCATATTTTTAGAAATATCAACATTTTAAAGTTGTCTAATGCCGCTAGCCTTTTTTTTTATGGCGGCCATTGATGTTTCATTGAAACAGGAGACTAGTGGATTTGGCCAATCTAGAGAAACTTAACTTCGCAACAACAAGATAACGCATTCATTTATATTGCCAATTAATCATGCTAATTCTTTTCTGGAATTTTTCGAGGAAATAAGTGGTTTAAGATTTACTTCATAATTTTAATATATATTTTGAGTTTTTATGTTTTTTGCCCTCTCGCAAAGTGAAATGAATTAATTAACTAAATACTCAATCGTCTGGAAAAACTTTGCGAATTTCTTTGCTTTCATTTTTTTATACTCATTCTAGCTTTATTATAGTATTTGAATGAAGCATGTGGCAACGATTAGATAATGCTATTCTTTAAATATATAAATTTTGTGCATTAGGAGTTATAATTTGAAACGAAATATAAGTTACTGTTATATATTACTAATACTGTTACGTGTCTCGCGCCAGAGTGTCGCTATGGTAAACAAATACTAGAGTGAATTTTAAGAATGCATTCATTCTCTTGTGATTTATGCACTGTCGCCAAGAAGATTAATTCAAAATAAATTAAATGAAAGCAGAAAAAATGCGTACAATTTAATATCCGTAAGAAGTCATGTGGTGTACACATCAGAGTTTTTAAATCAAAATAGGTCAAAAATTTGCATATTTTTATTACATATTTCAAATCTACATATTTTAGATTAAACTCAAAAATTTTTTGTAGAGAAGGGTGTCAAATACTGAAATGAAAATATGATATAAAAGGAAAATTTTGAAAATTAATATTGCCTAAATTATGATTTATTTTATAAAATACAAAGGTAAAATATATATACTGATGAAAATATGCAACATACTGACAAAACATTATTTAGAAATGAAGTTACATTATGTATTCTTGTATAGTTGACAGAAAGTGGACAACTAATACCATCTGTTAGCCCACATCTAAATAAACAATTAGGCATCACAGAAAAGCCGAAAGGAAACCTTGAACGAGGAAAGAGCGAGTTGCACAGTTAAATAGACGGCAGAAATTCATACCCGCAGAAATCGCGGGTTGCGCAAATTTTGCTACTTCTACATTGCCCATGGAAATCGCGGGAAGCGCAGCAAGAGCCTTAAATAAACTTGTCAACTATGTTGAAAAATAGAGAAATGTATGTGGAATCTAAAAATAAATTTGGTTTTTGAAAATTTGCTTTGGTTTGGTTCTTATTTTCAAATGACCCTTACTTAAAAAACATCCCTCCTGTAAGTTTCTCTGCTCTGATTGTTTGAATTTCATACAAGAATGAGAGAGAAAATTAAAAGTGAGAAGTATTCTTGTAAAATATAAATAAAAAGGGCCTAAACCATATTAGAATACAAATTAGGCCTATAACAAGATGCAGCCAAGGGCTTAAATGTGTATTAAAATACATCCTATGCCTAAATAAAAATATACAAAATGTAATTTTTATTGCCTGCAGCTTAGATGGCTGTAGTTTTAAAAAAATACTTTTCCAAGTTGTAACATGTTTAAAATGTATGCTGCTTACTGCTTTGGTTCTATATAATTTCACTTATCATGTTTGTAAAAATTCCCCTCTTTTTTTTATACACTATGTATGTAAACTAATCATCTTAACTATTGTTTTAATTTATGTATTAAATTTTTAGGTATGTTCATCAAGTTATTATTTTGCATTTAAAAAATTATAATGTCTTATTTCAGGTATTAGGGGTACAGACTTTGAGTGGTACTGGTGCCTTAAGAGTTGGAGCTGATTTCTTAGCTAGATGTGCCCAGTTTAAGCATTTCTATATGTCATCTCCTACTTGGCGTAAGTTTCATCATTCTCAGTTACCTATATATGCATTGTATCCTGCCTGCAGTAGATTTGTGTTCAGATATTTATGTGTCAAATTTAATAGCATGTTTTAGTACTTTAAGAAAATTGGTGCTTTCTGATTATCACATCCCACTGAAAAGTTGCAAACTCATTGGCATCTTTGGATTGGAATATTTGTTGGGTATCTTTATAACTGTTTCAAATGATGTATTTGGTACCACCTATTTTTTTACTTTCTTCTTTTCCTATGTTTTACATTCTTTTTCTTCATGCAGACTTCTCAGTTCTTTTTTTTTTCACGATTATTCTCTACTTGTACACACCAACCTGTTTTCACTAAAAAAAGTCAAAAATTTGCAGACTCATTGTGATGCACAATCTTGGCAGTAACATCCTAAAATGAGAAGAAAAAGTGCCTTTAAGTCCTAGGCATGATGAAAGCTAAGTCCAAGATTTTGCTAGAGATGATGAAAATTGTAGTATGTGATAGTTCCTATGCCAAAATGCTGAAATTCCCATAGGAATGGTCATAATCTGTAATCACATTGGTAAAAATGTCTGCAGAAGTGGAGAGCACTTTTTGGCAATGTAGTGCATATCCTAATCAATATTTTTTTGGGGGGTGGAGGAGCTGCAGATAATCAGAAAGTATAAAAAATTTCGGTACTCTTCGGTTTCGAGGGCCGTAAAAAATCGCCAAACTATTGTTGATGCCAATGCTACCAAAAATAATTTCGGCAACCCTAATAATTAACCGCAAAAAGATAATAATAATATTTAAGATGATTTTAATTTATGAAAGGTTAATTAATCTTTTTTTATTATTATTTATATGAAAAGCTAACATGACTAAATGGAAGCATAAGAGTAAATAACTATTTCAGATCATTTTATAATTTTTATAAAATTGCTAACGTAACTGAATGGATGCCTGCAGCGCTATTGTACCGATTATCGCTAAAGCATAACATCTCGTTGTTGTTCAACGTAATTTTTAATGAATGATTCTTTTCTTTGAATATTTCTCTGAACAGTGCGAATCGCTCAGTATTTGTTTGCCGCTTTTTTACAAGAGTAAAAACAATGGGAATTTTGTCTTTTTTTTACTTTTCAAGTGAAATAGTCGGTGTACATAGATAAAGTGAAGGGTTGTGCATAGTGCCATTTTGTGCAATTCTGGGATTTTTTTTTAAGTGAAATAGGTCGATGCACATGGATACTGAGTATGTGCAATTCTTGAAAACGCGTCAGCAGTGGGATTCTGCACTTTACCAAAATTCCCGACGTTTTTCATCACTGGCAATTCCAAAAATTGTTAATCCTAGATAAAAAATTTAAAATCAAAAAAGGATGTAAAAATTAAACTAGTATTCAATGGCGTCTTCAAATATAGACTTAAAATTACCATCTGAATCTTACGCTAAATTTAGAACAGTTAATGGTTCCTTTTAGATTTGAGCTTGCGCTACATTGGAGCTTTTGCGCATACGGCCCTCACAACGATAGTATTAAATGAATCGAATTAAAATTTCAATTTATTTAATTTCTTCTGTTGTTGGTTGAATTCTGTGATTGTGTCTGCATGTAAAAATGTGTGCTTACATCTGAAGTAAATGCACACATAAACCCTTGACACATAGATTTGCAAATGCACTGCTCTTATACTTACATTCCGGCATCCGGTCCTGTCCAAAATATCTGATCCGGATAAAATTTATTTAAAAACACCACTTCAACCCCTGCTGTAACATGACTATTTCTCATAAGTTTTAAAAACACTAACTATTCTATTTTTGTGTGTTGTAACCTAGCATTCTGAGATACCGTGGCAGACTGCTATTTTTTTTCCCTTTCGTATTCCGTTTATTGTCTACTCATTTGCTGTCTCTTGCAAAACCTTGTTACTTACCGTTTCAGTGCGCCCCTCTTCTCCTTCACTGTTGTATTCCATGAAATCTGTGAAAAATCTCTCATATCTGCTTCGCCTGTTTTTAAAATATTTTTTTGTTGCCTCGTCTCCTCTCACTGGCCCGGTGCCCCCCCCCCAGCAAATCGTAATGATCCCTCCGCTTTCTGCCTCTTTCCCTGCAAGTCCCCACAAAAAAACAAAAAAAAACCCCAACCCCTCAGTGGGATCCGGGCCCAGACTCATCCATTTTCCGTTGTGATTATTGCTATTAGTGCCATCTTAATTCATGGGTTCCTAATCACCCCTTTATTCTTTCTATTCTCTTTCAAACTTAAAATCTTCTTTATGCCCCTTCTCTGATGCAACGCGTAGTATATAAAATAATTCACTCCCTTTGGTTTCTGTACCAATCTATCTTACCCACCCTACCTTCCCCCCTTCACTCTGTGTTCACTTGCTCTATTTTAACATCCAAAAAAAAAAAAAAAAAAAAAACACAGAGAATTGCGCATAATGGCCTCGTATTGTGGGCGTCTTCCTGTCCCCCCCAACTGTTTTTAAAAAATTGGTAAACCTAACATTTTCCTTCTTCGGGCAAAGCTATCTAATAGTATCTAAAACGCTGATAAAGAAACGTCATATGAAGCACTAAAAATCCACCGAAACTCCCATCAGCAATTTGGAACCTTCCCCAAAGCGCACTCAATTAAAATTAAAACTAAGAAACATCTTACACTTTTTTTTCTACATCCTACGCTAATCAAAAGGCCTATGTCTAAGAGAGGGGGGAAGCAACCACGTGGCTATCTTTTTGCTTTCGCAGCAAACTCAACAGTAGCATTATTATTCATTACAAGAAAAAAAAAAAAAAAAAAAAAAAAAAAGCACGTACTAGCCATGACAATCAGAAACCAGAAAGGTGTGCCTTGAATTTCATAACTGCAGCCATGTGCATCAGTTGTTGGCATGATGCATACACCATCCTGATAATAAGGCACACCATTCAGATAAATACGGTTTTGTAAAGTTCTGTGTTGCCTTCATTGGTGATATAGCACTTTGCATGGTATTCTCAGCAGGATTAGGAAGCTAATCAGAAAAAACAAAATTTTAAGTGGCAGATGCATGTTACACACATACTTATTATTACCTGCTTATATACTGTGGATGACTGTATTAAAAATAAGCAATCTAAAATGTTCATGGTTATGTGATTTGTGTGTGGGGGTGTATTTTAAATATTTCTGTTTTCTAAAAATGTTATTTACTTCCCAATTTTAAATTTAAACATTTAAATAACTTGGAAGTTTTAAGATGGTAGATTTTTAATATGACACAAAAATGCTGCAGATTCTAAAACCTTTTTGTCTTTCCTGTAGTTCGGTACTTCTGCTTGTGCAGAAGCTTGTCCAAAGTCTCTTTCTGGTTGTTCATGTCATACACTTCTTTTGCTGGCTAAAATCCTCAATACATCACTATTTGGAGTGGGGAAGGCAGTATGAGACTTTTTCTTCAAAAGAGATTCTAGGATACTATCTAAAATCATGCATGGTTTTACAATAAACTGGTTTCTGTTTAGTAGTAGGAAGCAAAGTCATTACTGTAGACAACTGTAAATTTTTACCACTATGTTGATAAATGCAAAAATATCCTTAATGAGGTCCTGAACTGGAATCTGCTAAATTCCTCTTTGGGCATTTCAGGAGGGTAGCAGAGATATTATACTATTAAATCTGGCATTCAACTCTCTTTTATTTATCATACTAAATATCAGAAGGAGATTTTCTAAAAATTGTACTGTTTCTCGCGACGTTAAACCAGAGATCTGTAAAATCATGTAATTCTTTTAATGCATTCCTCCCTTTTAGCACTGAAACAACTTCGTCACTTTGAGCGCTGAAACAACTTCCTCACTTTTAGCACTGAAATAACAGCACTTGTAAATAAAAACAACAATGGCGTTCATGCTATCATAATTAAGTTATTTTTCCAAGTTTTTGCCATTATATCAAATGAAATTTTTTTTTAGTTAGAAGACTTTGATATATAAATTGCGTGTCTTTTATTATTATTATTATTATTATCATCATCAGAATCTTTTTGAGTGTATTTTTAACTCATTCACAGCCAATCATCGTTTGGTTTTTAATCACGCTGGTTTCCAAAATTTTCACGCTTATCGCTATTGGAATGCTTCTAAGAGGAGCCTTGATTTTGATGGAATGTTAGAAGATTTAGAGGCAAGTACTGAAATTTTATGCTGGAGTATATTATTAAACATAAGACTATTTTTCATTATTTCATAGTGTTTTCTAATTTGCTTCAAGTTTTGTGCTGCTCAGAAGTTTTACATTTCATCTGATTTTATTTTTGCTGCTTTTATGATATTATTTATGGAAATTAGCATGATAGCATTTTCAAAGATGGCAAGATTGGAAAAATGTTGATCTTCTAATTGATAAGTAATCCAAGAAATCTTGCAAAAAATATGAACTTTCAAATCACAGGTTTTAGTTTTCTTAAAATATATCTACTGCTAACATATATTCCTTGTAAAATGCTTGATTTTTATATCAATAAAATTTACGTTTTTAATTTTAATCAATCAGGGATTATCATTAAAACACATTTTCTGTGTGATACCAAATCCTGCATACAACTTTTAAAAGCATCTAATAAAAGTAGTTTAATATATATATTCAAGAATGCTATGTGATGTTGCGGAACTACTTTTATATACGCCCTTGCTTGGTGACGAACTCCATGCTGCCATATTACTATCTAAATTTTTTGTCTACATTTCGAACTTTAAGCCTAAAATGTCTCCAAAAATGCAGTTTTCGCACATGCAAAAACCACGTTTTGAACACACAATTTAAGCTAAAAGTCCGAAACAAAAACAAGAAATTTAGATAACAAAAATGTAATGTATCTGACCAAAAATATTTGACAAGAATCCATGTACACCGCAATATGTTTTAACTTAAACAAAAATCGCAGAATTGCGCAATCTATGCGACGAAGGAATCTACGAATTACGCACACATTGCTTAAATAAATTTATAACAAAATAAATTTCAAACAATACCATGTACACAGTGTTCTGTGTAAACTTTTAAAAAAAATCTACGAATTGCACAATCTAAGCATTGCGCACTAATCAACAAAATAAACTGAAATAAATTACAAACAATTCAAAATACCAACAATAACGACAGAAATTCGTACTAAAAATGAACATTCACAAAAAAAAATAAAAAAAATCACTTATAAATGCTTCTAAACAGCAGAATTTTAAAGCATACAAAATCCGCATACATTCATGATAATTTTCGCCATAACACAACATCTGTGAACACAATCCACGATTTGCAACCCGTCTTTCCCATTTAAACCATAAACTTCCCTTTACTAAAAAAAAAAAACGAAACCTCCACATTAAACTAACCCCACTCAAAAAAATTCCGCTGACAGCCAATTAACCGCACAATTTGCCTGCAACCCACGCAAGTCTGTCAAAACGCCATTCTTCGTACGACTTTCATATCAGCTCTCTTTTCGGACACGCCAAACGCTCCGAATTCCCGACTCCCAAAAATTCCAACATACACTTCGATCTGCATAAACACACCTGTGAACAAAAGACTCGTTAACAACTCCAACATTGTACCTTTGAATATTAAATTTATTTTACACACAATCTAAATTACACAACTGAAATTTTCCCACCAGGTCTTTCATTGCAATATTCCCTTTCAAAATGCGCACAACACAAACCAGCGAGCAAATAAAACAACTGCAGTGAAAAAGTAAGTTTCAGCATCAAAAGGGTTGTCATACAAACTACATCATCCCCAAAACCATCGCAGAAAACACAATTGCACCAAAAACCAGCACGGAACACATATCGCCACATTTAGGGACCTGAGGTCGCTTATAAGAGTAAAACCGATATTGCTGGATTTAGATCTGTGTGCAATGTTTGGAAACCCTCAAATTCATGGCTATCATCATAAAGCGTAGCTAGAGTCCATTATGTACTATTGGCATTGTATCATGAGATTGGCGACCAGAGACATATGGCGGTCCAGTGATATTTTTGCCCCTATCCTGCTGCAAAACTCTGTTGATAAGCATCTCCCTAAATTCTAAAATCTTTCCCATCCCCAAATTTTGCATTGCAGTGTCTTCCCTAAATTCTAAATTGCCATCCTTCAATTTTATTGCTTGGCGCTTCTCTTATGTTCTAAAAATTATGTTGTCAGGCACAGCCGTACCAGCTCTGTATGGAATCGTTCTGGGCTTATCTCAATAATAGATGAATTATTTTGAATTCAGACAGCACTAAGTGTAATCTTTTGGCTGATGAGTTTCATTTACGAAATCTATTTTTTGCACGTGGAAAAATATTTTTGTTAAATTTCTTGTTGTCAACATACTCAGCACTTCACAATGCAAAATCGTTATGTTTTATGTTACCGTATTTCAAAATGCCCTACAATTTAAGCCTTTCTTGTCTGGTAACTTTCGATTGAAATTTTATGAATGATAATAAATGCTATGAAGCACACATTTTGAAAATTTATTTCAGCTAAGGCATCTTATATTTAAGCAGATTTTTAAAATATTGATGTAAATTTAATATTTAAAGCTACTGTAGATGCTAATTTAGAAGTCAAACAAGAAAAATCAGCATTATATTTTCAAATTTTCACGGAGGCCGGATGGTTTTACTGACCATCTTCCTCAGCTCAATCCAATAAGCCAGATAAAGATAATGCTTCTAACATAAATAAGAAAGCTTGGACGGGAGCTAGCTACTGGTCATCTGTGATAAGCAAACTAAAACCATAATTTCTTTAATGGCTGAGGCAAGGATGGATTGGGATTAGGGTCGTTAACTAGAACAGAAAGATTTTTTTGAATGTGAAATCCTCTAGAAAATCCAATCACCAATGAAAGATGTTTTTTGAATAACTTTATCTGCAGAAAAATTAAAAGTGTGATTTTCTGACCAACTGTTGGGCAACAGAATACTTCTGTGTTCTTTTTTTCTAACATATGCCTCATTTCCTTAATGCGAAATTTAAGGCTTTCTTAGTTTGACCAATGTAAATAAACCACATAGCAAGAAATCCTATAAATACCTCAGGAATTCATATCCGGAATAGGGCCCTTGCGTATGGAACTTGGAATTTTATTAATGATAGAATAAACAAACTGAAAGTTAAATTTCTGTAAAATACGTGCAATTTTATAGCTCATTGGTAGAAAGAAGGAAATGACAAACAGAATTCTTATAATCTCCTGAAGCAAGAGTGTGCCTTTTGGTGTGTTGAGATGAGAATTTTTTAACTGCTTGATTAATAATAGGTATGGTTCTGCTACATAGACGATACTTTTACCCGGGATGAAGATGATAAAGGTGATTTGAATAAAGATAATTCTTTGATAATTCAGATTTTAATAAATTTAGATTTTAATAAATTGATTTTAATAAATAGATTTTAATAAATTGATTTTAATAAATTTGATAATTCTTTCAACAATGAATTGATCCTGCTATTCAGTTCACTTTTGAACTTGAGATGTGCAATTCTCTTCCGTTTCTCAACATTGTAGTAACACATAACACATCCAACTTCAGTACTGTGGTTTACCGTAAACCTTCATCGGTTTGCCTTCCACCACACTTCAAATCCAGTCATCCGACTAAACAAAGTTTGCTTCATTTTATTCTTATGTTTTCC